ATTCATAATATTTAGTTTGTATTAGTATCGTTCGATTTAAAGTTTGTATCTTTTGTATATAAATATATTGTAAGAAAAACCGACTCGTTGAATATTTGAGAAACTCAGTGCATTGCTTTATTGATTTTTATTCATATACTATAATATATATTGATTTTAGATTAAAGTTTCTAGAATATGTCATTATATGCATAATTTTGTTTTACGTGAATATATCTATTTATATTGAATATTTTTATATGATATATATGTGTGTGCCAAAAGTCTCTAGTAATGGTTTTGGGTATATTAAAGTATATATGTATTTGGTACGTATACATACGTGTTATATGTGATACATGATAAAGTATTTATTAAAAGAAATTAAAAATAAATGTTGATATAAATCTATATATCTACATTTATTCAAGAATTTGTTTTTTATTTTAAACTACCCTCACTACCACACCACCGACTTGTTGAAACTTTTTTATCAACATTTATTCAAGAATTTTTTTTCATTTCCCCACTACCCTCACTACCTCCGACTTTTAAAAATCTGTATATCAACATTTATTTAAGAATTTGTTTTTTATTTCAAACTACCCTCACTACCACCGGCTTGATAAAACTTTTCAATCAACATTTATTCAAGAATTTTTTTTCATTTCCCCACTACCCTCACAACCTCCGACTTCTTAAAATTTATATATCAACATTTACTCAAGAATTTATTTCCAATTCCCCACTACCCTCACTACCTCTGACTTTTTAAAATCTATACATCAACATTTATTCAAGAATTTGTTTTTAATTTCAAACTACCCTCACTAACACCGACTTGTTGAAACTTTTTTATCAACATTTATTCAAGAATTTTTTTTTCAATTCCCCAATACCCTCACTACCACAGACTTGTTGAAATCTTTTTTATCAACATTTATTCTAGAATTTTTTTTTTCAATACCCAACTGACTTTTTAAAATTTCTACCATTTAATTTCAAAATTTATATATAAATCAATGCATATCTTTATTTTTAAAATTTAAATTATTACTTAATTATTATTACTACTTTCACTACCTTCTATTTATCTGACATAAAGCTAAAGTGAAAAATAAGACATTTTATACATACAGGGGGTAGCCTGCTGGGTAAAAAATAAACATGATTTTGAGGTGTTAGAAAATATATCTGTCTTTGAGAAAAGAGTTTTTGAATCTATTTTTCTAAAAGTCAAAGTTTCTTCAAAGAAATTTAGAATTATTGGTAATGTATATAGACCTCCTAAGTTTACTGAAATTATGGAATCTTTGGCGGATAGCAATAAGACGAGAAAGCCCTCATCCTGGATAAGAGAGCTGAAGGAAGCATATCTCCAGACAGAGGAAGTGACATGATCGATTCACAGCGTGCGTAATCAGTCAGAGAATGTGTCTGTAATAGCCGAGATCGCAAAACACCGTAAGGATCAGCAGTAGGCGGGCTCCTTATTATATCCACAACATTGTCTATCTCGTTCTGTGGTAAAGATGCAACCACATGATGGAACTTGGTGATGCTGCTGGATATATTCTTGAGGTGGAACTGGGACTCAGCGTTGATGAACCAGGACTCGCAGCTGTCGGGCCAGAAAGCAGGCAGTTTCAGAGCAACTGCATAAAGCTGACTAGGATTAGAATCCGACTGGTTTGTCGCGCCTGTGCTTAGAGCTGGGTCTCCGGGCATCGTCACGCTGAAAAATAAAACACTGTCGAGCTAGGGTTTCGCTTACTGTGATAGCCTGTGGAGAAAACAGGGAGGCTGGTTCACTTTTCAGCCGAAATAATACTAGCGAACAAACAGAATATAACTCAAAACACTGAGTACTTGGTGTATAACTACAACACGATGGGTTGTTTAACTTGGGACTTAGAAAAGAAAACGTATTCACTAGTCCGGGGTCACCAATTTGGCGGATAGCAATAAGACGAGAAATGATAACGACTAACTATATTTTTTATCTAAGTTTCTAAAGTAGAAAATATATATATCATGACGTGGCTTCTGGAAAACTCCCTCTATTCTTCTACTTGCCGCGAAAAGGTTCTTCTTAGGAAAGACGACTTTCATAGCCGCCACAAATCTATTTTTTAAAAAATTTTATCCGACAAATTAATGAGTAAAGCTGAAGAAATTAAAATTATGGGCGACCTAAATATTAATCTGCTTAATCACAATTCTCACAATGCTACATCTAACTTTTTCAACACCCTGTTAACACATTCACTTCTTTCACTAATTACACTCCCTACACATATTACTCAAACATCTGCAACATTACTAAATCACATATTTAGTAATTCAGATCCTGAGTCAAAAGAATGTGGAATCATCTACTCAAGTTTATCTGACCATTTACCCGTTTTTTCATGGTCTAAATGTACACAACATGAAGATAATATTGGTAGCAAACCAGTTCTAATTAGAAATACTTCAATGGAAAATAAAGCCAAGTTTAAGGAAAAATTGTTAAATAATGACTGGACTCATGTTATGATAAATGAAGACCTTCTACAGCTTTTTCTGAATTTTCTAACATTTTAAATAATATTTTTTTAAGAAAGCTTTCCATTTATTAAATATAACTCAAACAAAAATAAAAATTCTATTAACCCTTGGTTTACGTCCCTTTGCTAGTATCTAGGAAACAAAAAGAAATATTATTCAAGAAAACAATTCTGAATCCAACTACAAACAATATAGAAACTTTTAGAAAATACAATTCTGTTTATCGCACAACAATAAAAAAGGCCAAGACTAGTTATTTTTATTCTAAATTTACAGAATACTCAAAAGACATTACAAAGACTTGGTCTTTACTAAACTCTATTATTTCTTCAAAGAAAAAAAGTCATTCAGTTCCTGAAATTTTCACTGATGATGTTATGAAGTTATGTGGGATCTGCTGAGATAGCAGAGGGTTTTAATGATTTTTTTGTGAACGTTGGACCCAGATTGTCTAGTTATATTTAGGATTCCAATAACAATTTTGAAACGTATCGAAAGGAGCCATCCAAGGAATGAGTTTGCAAATATTACACCAGAAATTATTCTTGAAACAGTGAGTAAACTAAAACCTAAAAACAGTTAAGGCAAGGACAATATTTCTACCAAGCTACTGAAGGAAATAATTGAAAGTATTGTCTATCCTATAGCGCATTTGTTTAACCTTTCTTTTAAAACAGGATATATCCCTAGTGATTATAAATGTGCAAAAATAATTCCTATCTTTAAAACTGAACAAAAAGATAAATTTAATAACTACAGACCAATCAGTATTCTCCCAGTGCTAAGTAAACTTCTTGAAAAAAAAGCTGCGACACAAATTTTTAAATATCCTAACAAGTTTGAGATTTTCTTTCAACATCATTATGGATTTAGACCAAAACATAATAATAATCAACCATTACTACACCTAATGAATAAATTTTACAAAAATCTTAATAAACCTCAACCAGAATTTACACTGGAAATATTTTTAGATCTAAAGAAAGCTTTTGACTGTTGTGACTTAAATATTCTGTTAAAAAACCTTGAGTACTACAGTTTCAAAAATGTAGCTAACACCTGGTTTTAAAACTACCTATGCAATAGGACTCAATATGTATGTATAAATGGTATTTTTTCTAAAGAAAAAACAGTTGTATACGGTGTTCCCCAGGGAAGTTTTCTTGGGCCCCTACTATTTCTCATATACATAAACGATTTGCCATTAGCAACGTCTTTTTTTACTAATCTATTTGTCGAAAACACTAGTTTTCCAAAATCATCTCCACATATTGAAGCTTTAGTAATTGATGCCAACTTTGAACTAAAACAGGCAGCAGCATGGTTTCAGGCAAACTGTTTAACATTAAATGTCTCCAAAACAAAGTTTATGATCTTTAGGAATAAAAATATGCATTTTGATCCTAAGAACTGCAAATTTTAAATTGAAAATGAGATTCTGGAAAGAATAGGAACTGACTGTACAAATAACTACTTTAAATTTGTTGGACCCAAAATTTATGAATTCTTAAATTGTCAAATAGAACATGTTTCAAATAAGATTGCTATCTCAATTTTTGCTCTGAATCAGATTAAAAAACATTTTACCATTAAACATTCGCCTACTAGTTTATAATGCACTTGTAAGGCCACATATTGAGAATGGAATTATAACATGGGAGGGGGCGTAATAAATGTTAAACTACAGAAATTCTTTGCAAAAAAGGGCAATTAGAGCAATGAATATTAGTTCATTAAAAGCACATTCAGATCCAATATTCTTCACATTAGAACTTCTAAATCTTGATGATACATATAAACTAGGTGTTCTATGCATAAATACTTTTAAAAAATCTTCCAACTTCCTTCCATGATATTTTTAATTCTTTAGCTGAACCAAATAGAACAAAATCATATAAACTGTTTAAAAGAAAAATCTTCAAAAACTATTTAGATAGTTATGCAAGTTATATCTGTAAAAAAATAACTGTTTTTCATTTGGATAAACTTAGTCTTTGCTATCTTCGTCACCCTGTAATTCATAAACATGATTCTAATAATATATGTTACCATCTGTTACAACCCTTCCGCTGAGTACCCACCCTTTCCCTTATACTTTTTACCCCCTCTCTTTACCTTATTCATTATTTATCATCATTGTTTTGTTTAAAATGTACACTGTACAGTGTACATCCATCTATTTATTTACAATTCTTATTTGCTTATAATGGGCCAACCAATCAAAACAACCAATTCTGGTTAGGCGGGTCCAAACTACATAGTAAATTGTGATTTGTTATTAGTATTATTATTATTGTGTGCTTTGTAGTTGAATAAAAATCATGAAATATGAAATATGAAAATAAATGTGAAGTACACAATCCATACATATGAGGGGGGGGTACATGGTTGTCCCTCACAAAGTTACCTCAGAACACCTTGGTGTTCCTCAGTAACTTTGAGGGGATCATGAAGCTATATAAATGTGAAGTACATAATCCGTACATATGAGGGGGGGGGGGGCAAATGGTTCTTGCTCACAAAGTTACCTCAAAACACCCTGGGTGTTCCTTGGTAACTTTTAGGGGAATTTTGAGGGAATATATTTACCCCTCAAAGTTACCAAGGAAAACCCCTTCTATACTACACTCAACTCGATATCTTGTTTAGCTGCTCCAGTTCAGTATCTCATACACTTTAATCCTGGATGACACGGTAACTACTTGTAATGTTTCTTAAATCCAGCTGCTTCTAGAGTCTCTGTTATATTAGCTGTACATTACCGAAACTGCTCATTGAGTCCCTGATACTCTGTTTGCGGAGATACTCCTACCATTTGAGATGCTCCTAATAGCTGAGATGTGTCCATGCTATTCACAACTGCTCCTAGAGTATAATATATGTCCACAATATCCACAACTGCTCCTAGAGTATGAGATATGTCCACGATATCTACAGCTGCTCCTAGAGTTTGACATATATCCACAATATCCACAGCTGCTCCTAGATTATGAGATATGTCCACAATATCCACAGTGGCTCCTACTATCTGAGATGCTCCCACTAGCTGAGATGGTTCAACTACATTCCCAGCTGCTATTACAACAGGTCGGTGAAGAGCTGTTTGTGAAGAGCACCATATCCTGCTCCAAGATTATCTTGTATATTGCTCTTGGAGTCCTAGGTCTGACCGGATGCTCCAGTACTTCTCTATATCTTGGTGATCCTATTCCCTATCTATATCCTGGTTCATAATATCCTAATTCCCCTCAGTATCCTAGAGCTTTTAGCTCCTCTCTGTATCCTGGACATTCTAGTTCCTGATATCCTAGTTCCCCTTGGTATCCTAGAGCTTCTAGTTCCTCCCTATATCCTTGCTATTCTTGTTCTTGGATATCCTAGTTCTCTTCTGTATTCTTATTTGTAGTTTAGACAGGCTGGTAAAAGAGCAATTGGTCCAGTCCCAGAAACTAGAGGATATAAATCTCTTGATGAGATTGAGTGTATCTCCTATTCCTGACTGGATCATCTAGCTACTCCAGATATGTGAAGAGCTGTCTCCAAAGAGCAACATCTCCAATCCCAGGATGGTATAGCATCTGGTATCCTGGATTATCTCATTCATATCTGGAGGATGGTAGATCTTGTCCTCATAGATCATGGAGATGTCCTCCTCTCCTGGAGTCATTGATCTATACTGGTATTCTAGCTGCTCCAATCCACAAACTATATCAGAATCTTGTATAGAATCCTCTGTATAGTATGGAGCAGCTCCTGATGTATTAGCTAGACAGTCTAGTTCTCTTCTATCTATATATGCTGGACTCTCTCCAGTGTTTCTGTCCCTAGGAACATCTGGAGAGTTGGTTTGGACCTGTAGTTGAACTAGCTGAACTTTGGTTGGACTTGATTGTCTTGGATATGTGAGTTGCTCTATGACTCCAGTAGCCCTGTCAATAGGACCAGCTTGAGCATCTAGAGTTTCCTCAGGTACATCCTCGTCTATAGTTGGACTAGCTGTGTGGAGAGCTATCTGTCAAAAGTAGCTTCTACAATTCAAGTTTAGCTTCATTGGCCTAGATCTACCACTTGCTCTTATAGCTCCAGTGGACCTCTTAGTAGGACCAACTTGAGCATCTAGAGTAAATAAACTAGCTGGACTGGGGTAGGACTAGATCTATGCTTGCTCATTATCTCCAGTGGTCCACTTAGTAGGACCAACTTGAGTATCTAGAGTCTCTTCAGACACCTCTCTATCCATAGGTTGCTCTATAACTCAAGTGGTCCTCTTAGTAGGATCAGATCAGGTATCTAGAGTAGAATTGAACCTGTCATTGAACTAAGGAATGTAGTTCTCCTAATATATGAGAAACCTGAGGATAGGATGATATGAAGGAGGCTGCTGGCCTCGCCTCTTGTGTCCTCTGCCGAGCAAGTTAATAACCTATCTGTTGGCTGTCTATGAAGTACAAGTCCCCAAAGCCTTCATTAGAAAACAACGAAGCAAAAGGCTCAAATATGTTTTCTATCTGGGATCCTGGAGTGTACTGACGAAGCCTTGGTTCTGTATTTTGCTGTGACTCAGAGATCAAAGAGAGAGAGAGCGGGGGGATAGGAACTGCAGTATGAGCAATCCATTCTTCAAATATTACAATTTCTCAGTTTTTATGAAAACTTTCTCACCTAACTGCACATCGATAGAAGCCAGTGGATTGAAGAATAGGTCCCGCAAATGTTTTGCCTTCATCTAAAAGTTTACAATGAGAACACAAAATTTCCTAGTGATCAAATTAACCTCTAGATACTGCCATGGGCTTGGCGTATGGTGAAGCAAAATTCCGTTAATGAAATGCAGGTTTTCGAATATTTACGGCAGAGTCTGTTAAAGAACCGTAAAAACCGTTAATTCTTAAATCTTTAACAAAATGGATAAGCCAGTTTTGAAAAAAAAAATAATGGCTAAAAGCGAAAACGAAACGTTTTTATTTAAACAAAGTTCTGTTCTTGCCCTCTAAAACGCTAGAACAAATGGCTACCTGAGATTTCATTTAAAAAACGGTTGAAACTAACATTTCCTGGGGAATGATTATTCTTCCACGGGAATGAATAGAATGAACGATTTCAAAAAATAAGGAACATATGCCCGGCCTTAATTAAAAATAAAATTTCTCATTTTACGAGGTATGTCGACTTTTTCTTTTTACTTACTATTTTCCTGGTAATACTCCGCCAAATTTGTATAAGGGCCTAGAATAGATAACTTTTTTTTTATTTATACTACAGACTTTTATGGTTATATTGGTTTTATCAGATATTGGTTTAACCCTAACCAAGATCTAGTTTTTTTGCCTTAGCAATCTCATTCTTGACACAACAACCTTGAAATTGTTTGATTTTTCATAAATAGGAATTTTAAGGATTATTTGTAATTTTTTTTATATACAGGGCGGTAAATAGTCTGGTCTGTGTAAAAAAATATATAAAATAGCCCATAACTTTTTTATGACTAAAGCAAAAGATTTAAAAACTATATTTTTGAAATGCCCTTGAAAAAATGGATGTAGAAATATGTGTCACACTTTGATATTTGTTTTAAACAGAAAAAAATATTTCTTACATATTTTTCCTTTTTTTATGGCATATACTCAACCCTCCCTAGCACCCATACTATAAATTGAGCTGGCCTTGATAAATTGGGCCTTAAACATGCATTTTAACCCTATGCTATTCTCTATCGCCATTTCCTAGGTGCGGAAGTGTGGGACGCCCCCCCCCCCGTCTTTATTCTGACCCCCCAGCCTTTATAGAGTTAACTTAATTGCTCTCCGATGTCAGTTTGTTCTCCAGAAAAACAAATTTTTCAAATTTTACTGTTAAAATTGGTGCATTTAACATTTTTATTGACATTGCTTTAAAGGAAACAAATTAAATCTGGACCAACCAAACCCTTCCCTGGGGTCTTGTGAGACTTACATAAAACTAAGGATCCTAGTTTTTAAGTCATAAGTTAACCATAGAGAATAGAATATATAGAGAGGAATTAAATGGAAAAAAGTGTAAAACGGCTATTTTGTTGTACTGTTTCCATACTGCATGTGTACTTCACATATTTATGCTACATAACCTGTTGGCCCTGGAATATCATTATATAGAAAATCTAAAATTATTGTTAAAAGAAAACCAAATTATGAAATAGGCTGGTTTCATAATTGACCAATGATCATTTCACGTAGACTCTATGCCTTCCACTTTACAAACGATGATTTTCCGTTATAACTATAAATCAAATGATGTTTTTATTCACCTAATTCATTATAAAGTTTATTAACAGTTTAAAAAATTCGAAATTGAAATGGATAGCCTAGGGAACACTATTATACTCTACTGCAAATAATTTGTGAACATTTACATGATTTGTACACTTTGAATTCCCTTTCAGGCTGAAAGGGACTGAAAAAATTCGTACTGAGAGATTCTTTTAATTCCTCTCTATATATTGTATTCTCTATGGTTAAAACCCATTTACACCCATTACATGAAGATTGAATATGATATTTGTTGTTAACCTGTACATTTTAAATATTAATGTATTCATAGCTAAGCACTTTTTTCGACGGATTTTTAATCAAAGATTAAAAAAATCATTCATTTTATTTTGGAAAAACACTTTTTTACTTTGTAATTGAGTTTTAAATTTCAATTTGTGTTAAATGTTTTTACGTGATGCTTCAGTACTTTGAATTTACCTGTGATTAAACTTACCTAAAGTATAGAGTTTGTCATGAACAACAACCGTTGTACCAATCTCATGAAAAGATTTCAGATTCAGATAGGGATTCAATGCTGTTAAAAAATTTGATCTTTTCTACAGAATTGATTTTTATCTTAAAATTTGTGGATTGCTGGGTCTCATTTATAAATAAATATGATAAAAATTCAAAAAAAGTTTGGTTTTCTTTACCCTAAACTGAGATAAATGTTTGATACTGCAGGAGTAATATTGCGATTGAAAACGAGAAGCCGTTGAAATCACAATATCACTATCCTTTACAGTAATAAACTTATAAAAAATAAGTAATATACTTATAGTATAACATGTCCTTAATTTTTGTAATTCGTTAATAAGAGCTTTTAGCATGCAGCATCTTTGGTTCTACGCTTGTTATTTCAAAACTTTTCAATTTTTAAAAGACATTTGCTGTGTATTAATGATAAGATTGTTAATAATTAGTTTGTTAATGATTAGGTTGTTAATGATTAGATTGTTAATGATTAGGTTGTTAATGATTAGTTTGTTAATGATAAGGTTGTTAATGATTAGATTGTTAATGATTAAGTTTTTAATGATTAGATTGTTAATGATTAGGTTGTTAATGATAAGGTTGTTAATGATTAGGTTGTTAATGATTAGGTTGTTAATGATTAGGTTGTTAATGATTAGGTTGTTAATTATTATGATGTTTATGATTACATATGCAAATAATGTAGCCTGGCAAGATTGCAAAAGTGTTTGCAGAGTGTGGAGTGTGCGGGGAGTGTTGGGGAAGTTTTGGGAGTGTTAGGGGAGTATATGAAGTTTCAGCGGAGTATGGAGAGTGTGGGAAGAGTTTGAAGAGTACGGGTAGTGTTTGGAAAGTGCGGGGAGTATTGGTGGAGTATGGGGAGTGTTGGGGGTTTAGGGAGTGTTGGGAGAATTGGTGGAGTGGTAGGAGTGTTGGAATAGTGTAGGGAGTATGGGGATTTTGGGGAGTGTTAGGAAAGTGTTGGGAGTATCTGGGGAGTGTTGAGAGTGTTAACGGATTGTGGGGAGTGTTGGGGAAGTGTATCTGTTTTCAATATCAGGTACATTTTTTGTGTGAGTTCACTAGCTAAAATTTTAGAAAATCCATGAAAATTTTTAAGAAATTGATTCAACTTTATTTCTGTGTTCCTAACAGGGCAATTTATTTCACGTCCATAATTATTAAAATCAACTGCACAACATTTTCATAATTATGATATGATATCTACAAACTTCAAACTGATTCATGATGCAAATTTTTCCTTTAGAACTACTATCGTAATTATGCATCATATTCTTTGTGTGGAAACCTCCACTTAATAGCAGTTTTCCCCTAAAATAGTTCAATTGCATCAAAAATGTAAATTACCAAGGTGTACTCATTCATTTTAGAGGGACTGTAAGAGTAATTTCTAGCGACCCTTGCAGGCAATGCCTTATTTACCACAACGGCCTCAAAAGCTTTATTTGGTCAAACATGTGGAAGATCCTATCCTTACTCAGAAACAGATTAATTCTGATCAATTTTCCATTGTTTCTAATTGGCAAACAATGCGCAAATCTTTTTTGCAGAAAAACCCCTAAAGAAAATAAATAGTTTAAAGAAACAAAAAACATGGATATCTATTTCATACTTGATCAGACAAATGTTTCAAGGGTACCATTGTAAATCAGGCATTGCCATCTTGTCCTTTATTAAGGGTCACTTGAAATGAAGCTTACAGTCCCTTTAAGCATATTCAGAAAGAGATCTTGCCTGAAATATTGAGCTGTTGGTCTGTAAAACCAAGTCCCGGTTCTATATCTTAGTTCCTCTGGCTGATATGGCTTAAAAACACGGTCGAGAAGGTCCTGGAAAAATGTACATCTATAATTAAATCTGAAACTAATATGATCCACAAAAAAGGTCAGTTCCATTATGTAGCCACTTCCATCAACAGATAATACTGAGACAATATAAAATATCAAGGTGGACTTGAGCTTTAATCTAGATAGACGTTTTTAAATGTTTAGTTTATTGTTTTCTACCTTAAAGATTCCTCCTGTTACAAATATTGTTGTGGTTGGTATACAATCCATACTAGAGATGCTCACATTCCATTCACCAGTTTTTCCTTTTTCTTTGCAGTAAGTGCCTTAAATATGAGCAAATTCATCTTTCCTTTGGGATTATTTGAGTTGAAGAACTGACAGTTTTTAAACAATTTGAAAATTTGCCTTTAAACTTGTACTATCTTCATTCCTATATATGCACCAAATAACATATTAAAATTTCGAATATCTATACAGGTATTGCAAATATGCAATTGTCTCAGCTATTTTGAATGATTTGTCATTAGAATCAGGGGCGGATACAGGGGGTGGGGGGTTGGTGGACATTCGCCCCCCCCCCCTAAATTGGGAATTTTTTGTTCCTATTTTCAGAATAACTTCTTATTAGCATGCTTAAGGGAAAGAAACCCTAGTGCAAGACAGGAAAAATATCTGTCTTTAGTCATTAATTTGGACTCTTTTTGAGTCTTTTAAGTCAAACAAAATTTTCGCCTGCGGTGCGATTTTTTGTTCCTAATTATGAATTTGTTTGTTCCTAAAAAATCTTACCCCCCCCTCACTTAAATCCTGTATCCGCCCCTATTTAGAATCATACCTCGGTATAAACGTGGAACAAATCCTGGTGTGCAAACAAGAAAACACTTTTCTAAAACAAAAGTTTCCTAATCACTATTTTCCAGCAAGTAATTTACAAGTGAACCTCTAATTGGATTGTAAAATTTGCATGGATAGAGATGTTTAGTATAGATCCTGCCACTATTGAAATCTATTGGTCCTAAGAAGTACCCATACATGTAAGTGAACCTTGATTGGATTTAAACAAGCTAGTAGAAATTTGAAACAAAGGTGTTAAAGCTGAAGACGTTGATACACTGTAATAATGAACAAATTTTACCTGTTCTAATATTCATGTAGCAGTCAAACCTACCGTTCAAAGGGTCTTCAGGAATCTGACATGCTAAATTAAAAAGTTTATAAATTACATAATATTAGGGCACGCGGCACCATTTTGACTTCCATTCCGTAACCTACATCTCAGTATGGATGTGCAGCAGCCCGCTCACCCGCTATGCATTCTATTTGGACATATTTTGTCTTTCATCAATATATCTTATCTTCATATATGCTTAATATATAGATAAGTGAAGCACTAATTAAGATTTTAAACACGCCATAGCATCTCTCATAACTTTACCATATTTTTCATATTTATTTTGTAAAATAATTAATTATTTGAGGTTTTTATATGAAGTGGTTATTTCAAAATCCACATATTCGAGGCCTTATAGGGTAATGAAAATAATTAGCCGCTGCCCACTGGTAATATTAGCGCAAATTTGCATGATTAAGCAAACTTTGATGTTAGTTAACATTAAATATTAAAAATCAATTAAATAAATGTTGAAATAGATCATGCAAACTTTAAATTTAAAACTAGTAAAAAAACGATCTTCAACTATAAAGTACAATCAAATGCATAACTTAAAATATACAACAAAAATAAAAGAATTTTGTCTAAAAACATTAAACTGCTTTTTACATGAATTTTCAGTTTTAACAAAACTTTGAAAAAAATTCGGGGGGGGGGGTTGCAAACTTAAACTTTCTTATATTTTTTGCTATGAGTTGTTGGCGAAACAACATTGAAGAACTGAAAATAAAAACGATAACTTAAGATTTTTTGTACAGGGTGTCCCAATAAACATGGGAATTCAGTGACAAATTTTAGATGGTCTTTGTTAAGAATTAGCAGTGTAATACCTGATTTCAATAACCATAATCTAATTATGTCTGCTTGAGTTTGTTTTATGAAAACGGTAAATGGCTGCAGAAATGCGCCTGTAATCTCTCTTCTTTAAACCAGCGCCTCCAGCGGTTGAAAGCAAAAAAGTTACTGAAATATCTGAAAACGGTTGTAAGTAAAAAAGTTGCTGAAATATCTTTAAACCAGTGGTTGAAAGCAAAAAAGTTGCTGAAATATCTTTAAACCAGTGGTTGTAAGTAAAAAAGTTGCTAAAAAATCTTAAAATCAGCCGTTGAAAGATAAAAATTTGCTGAAAAATCTGAACACCAGCGGTTGAAAGCAAAAACGTTATTCAGGAAAAAATATATTTCATTTGTTGAAAATGTGAAAAGTGCGATTTAGTGGTTGAACAAATTGTAAATTTCTTATTTATTTCTTATTCTGAACTGTGTAGAGTCTATGCTAGATCTCAACCTCTCGTTCAACCGCTCCAGCTGAGTTTTTTTCTCCAAAGTATATATCATTCTTCAAGATTTAAGTATAGATATATTGTCCTACATTCCGAATATTCAATACATTTGCTGAATTCAAAACAAATATACAATTATGTTAAGAATTAGCATTGTAATAAACCATTTCAAAAGCCATAATCTAATTATGTCTGCTTGAGTTTATTTTATGAAAACGGTTAATGGCTGCAATAATGCGTCTCTCTTCAAGATGAATGATACAGATTGCAGACGGATAGGTTTACTGTGTTTGTATACTGTAATACAACCGTATACAGTCAAAACATAAACAAACAGATGTAAACATAGCAGACCAAAATCTTACGGATTACAGCTTTCTCAGTAAGTATCACTATACTAAATCAAATAATTATTTAAATAGACTATATCAAATTCATTACTGAATTCCCATGTTTATTGGGACACCCTGTATCTTACAGACTTTAATGTTTCAGATGTTTAATAATACAAAAAATCTCATGGTTTCAAAAATACACATTTTAACAAAAAAATGTTGAAAATATTTTGTATTGTTATTCATAATATGCATTAAATCCCAGACTGAATCAAGAGGTTTGGATATTTACTTGGGAAATCTTCTTGCCAAACTCTTAAAGTGTTATTTGTTGTCTGCAGTCCTGCCTCAACAATTCTTCTTTCAATGTCCCTGACAAAACAGAGTATTTTCCTTTCACATGCTGATTGGTTTTGTAAACAGGTGAACAACATTTTTCGTTAACAATACGTCATTTAGAAAATAACGAACATGGACGAACTACTTTGAGCATTCAGAGAAAGGAAAACTTCCTTTCTTTAAAGCAATTAAAAAAAAAAACTTTAAAAATAAGTTGTTTTACTGAATGAACGATTTTTTGGAACACACTTTTAATAAAATAAAAGATCTTTTACTGAACGAAAAATCTTATTTAACGAACGATTTTAATGAACAAATGCTTTTACTGAACGATCGTTCAGTGAGAAAACGAAAGTAGATGGAAAATGAAGGCTAATTTGACAACAAACAAAATAGAAAAAAAACTAACACGAAAGATGAACGAACGAAATTTAAAAAGTCAGAACGACCCCATCTCTAAGGGTCCAAAAAAAGACGAATAGTCATGAACAAAAAAAATGATTGCTTGATCTTTAAATATTAATCGCAATATTTTGATTAGAAGACTATTATGACTTTTTATAATTGTTTTATTTTAAATTAATGGGGGTACCAGCTTAAAGAGAATACAAAATAGATCTTAAATTTAATATTTATAATAAAACAAGACATTCATATTAATGTTGCGTATACAATTGGGTTTAGTAGAGAGTGTATAAATATTTAACACATTTGATTTGACACATAAGAGAGTTTGAAATAAAATACTTGGAAAACACTATAATGATAAAATGCCATGTTTAATTAATTTTTCTGAACTTATTTCTTGAGTAGATTAAATAATCTAAGCTTGAAATATCAAAGCTTTACACCATCAGATTGCAAAGATAAAGATATTTGAGTTTGTGGCAAAGTTCTAATTTGTACCTGTGCTTTCCCAAGAAGCAAGTGTCGTTTTGGAAAGTAAAAAGTGTATTTTCATCTTTTCCTAGATATAAATATGATAAATATTTTGAAATGTTTTCCAAGATATAAATATGATAAATATTTTGAAATGTTTTCCTGGATATAAATATGATTGAAATGTTTTCCTGGATATAAATATGATAAATATTTTGAAATGTTTTCCTAGATATAAATATGATAAATATTTTGAAATGTTTTCCTAGATATAAATATGATAAATATTTTGAAATGTTTTCCAAGATATAAATATGATAAATATTTTGAAATGTTTCCCAAGATATAAATATGATAAATATTTTGAAATGTTTTCCTAGATATAAATATGATAAATATTTTGAAATGTTTCCTTGTAAATATTTGTCAGATTTTCTTTCTGTAAAAGTACTCTCTGCTTTTTTATCTGACTAATCTATCCTTTTCCTTTTAAAGGACTGTGAAAGTCATTTCTGAAAGTAACCCTTTATTTGAAGTGTATACACTGGGAAGGGGGGCGAGGATTTCCCCACCCCCTTAGAGTAAAGGTTGCAATGCATGTTCATAGCCCAATTTTTCAAGACGTTAAGACATATTTACATACATTTTTCAAGGGAATTTATATATCTGTAGCTTAAATAATAAAAAAAATAGATTTTTTCCCACGAACTGGCCTTTTTACAGACCTGTACCCTAGACTATGCATTAAAAAAAATTTTTACAAAAAATCCTTTAAAAATCTAGTCATTGAAAATAAAAAAAATGTCAAGGTGATAGTGTTCAAACTTTATAGTGCTTGGGCAAAAAAACTATTTAGGATCAATTTAACCTTTATGAATAACAACGAGATTTTGTGTTAAAACGTGTTGTATTAAGTTTCCTTCATTATATCTGCACAGCATATATCTTCACAGTATATTTCTGCACAGCATATATCTGCAAAGCATTTATCTGCACAGCATTAATCCGCACAGCATATATCTGCACAGCATATATCTGCAAAGCATATCTCTGCACAGCATATTTCTGCACAGGATATATCTGCACAGCATATATCTGCACAGCATATATCTGCACAGCATATATCTGCATAGCATATATGTACACAGCATATATCTGCACAGCATATATCTGCACAGCATATATCTACACAGCATATATCTATATCTGCACAGCATATATCTGCACAGCATATATCTACACAGCATATATCTACACAGAGCATATATCTACACAGCATATATCTGCACAGCATATATCTGCACAGCATATATCTGCACAGCATATATCTACACAGCATATATCTACACAGCATATATCTACACAGCATATATCTGCACAGCATATATCTGCACAGCGTATATCTGCACAGCGTATATCTGCACAGCGTATATCTGCACAGCATATATCTGCACAGCATATATCTCCACAGCATATATATGCAGCATATGTATGCACAGCATATATCTGCAGCATATGTATGCACACCATATATCTGCAGCATATGTATGCACAGCATATATCTGCATAGCATATATCTGCAGCATTATATCTGCAGCATTATATCTGCAGCATATGTATGTACAGCATATATGTGCAGCATTATATCTGCAGCATATATCTGCACAGCATATCTCTGCAGCATATGTATGCACAGAATATATCTGCAGCATATGTAAGCACAGCATATATCTGCACAGCATATATCTGCACAGCATATATCTGCAGCATTATATCTGCAGCATATGTATGTACAGCATATATCTGCACAGCATATATCTGCAGCATATATCTGCACAGCATATATCTACACAGCATAAATCTACACAGCATAAATCTACACAGCATATATCTGCACAGCATATATCTGCACAGCATATATCTGCGAAGCATATATCTACACAGCATGAATCTACACAGCATACATCTACACAGCATATATCTGCACAGCATATATCTGCACAGCATATATCTAAACAGCATATATCTGCACAGCATATATCTAAACAGCATATATCTACACAGCATATATCTACACAGCATATATCTGCATAGCATATATCTCCAAAGCATATATCTGCAGCATAAGTATGCACAGTATATATCTACACAGCATATATCTGCAGCATTATATCTGCAGCATATATCTGCACAGCATATATTTGCAGCATTATATCTGCATCATTATATCTGCAGCATATGTATGCACAGCATATGTATGCACAGCATATATCTGCAGCATTATATCTGCAGCATTATATCTGCACAGCATATATCTGCAGCATTATATCTGTAGCATATGTATGTAAAGCATATATCTGCAGCATATGTATGTACAGCTATATCTGCAGCATATGTATGTACAGCATATATCTGCAGCATATGTATGTACAGCAGATATCTGCAGCATATGTATGTACAGCATATAACTGCAAGGCACCTCATTTATTATTGTTCACTGTGTCCCTTTACTTAATGATGGAGTATATTTCAGAATTGTTCACTAAATTCTTTAATGAACAAAAAGACCAACTCATTTAAATAAATGTTGGCAGAACCGTTTTAAATATATAATCTAAATCTTTTCTATACTTCTATCTCCATATCTGAAATTTTTATATCTATTAAGTTCAAATCTAACTCTATAAATCGGCAAAAGCTGCAGTTGGAAAAAAATTATTTTTAAAATCGCTTATTTGGAAGCAAAATTTGTATGGCTTCTAAATAAGAAACAACAAATTGTTATTATTTATAAAAAAAATGTATTTCGTAATTTATAATGCTTCCCAGCTTAATTTATACTATTTACCAATTCTGGAGAGATATATGAATGCGCAATGTTGAGGATCTTCTACATCTGTTCCTGAAAATATCAACATTATTATTATTTTCTATATAATCACAAAAGGAACGCCCAGACGACAAAATGGTGTGGTCGGATTAAGTAAAGGTGAGAATTGTAACGTCATTTGTGGTGCTGTCGAAAAATGGTGTGGTTTGCCTTCCCTCGCTTCCTTCTTTTTATTATACGTCCTTTGTACACCTTTTTTATTTTACTTTTATTGGGGTTGGTTGGCTAGTGTTTGACACTGAAGTTAAGCACACTTGTCCGCAGCCAGTAACTGGATTGGTATCCAGACTGGTGTTCACGGGTTCGATTACCGCACTCCTCAGGAACCTGTGGTTTCAAAATCATTTAAAGCAAACATCTGGTTAAAAAGTTTAGACCACCTGACGGATGTAGGAGGACAGATGGGCGGCTGTCTACAACTCGCAACCGAAAGGGTGCGTGCCTTCTACTCAACAAGAAACAAGCTTGAAATGGATTGATACAAATGAATGACTCTCTTCAAAGTTGACAATCAGGGAGAGTATGGAAGGGAGGTTTTCAAAACTTAACGGAAGAGTTTGTTAACAAACGGCTAAAACAGCAAATTTTTAAATCGTTAACATAACGGATTGCACCTAGGATTGTTAACTTTTTTCTTTTTTAATTATTTCAAAACTTCCGACATTTTAAAACTTAGGAATATTTTATGTTATTTACTCTTCTTCAATCAAGCCTCATAGGGGAATAATTAGGCATAAAATAAGTAAAGCAAATGTGTACATTCAGTATAAACAATTTTGGAATTTGTAAAACCTTGAATTTTTGTGGAAGTTTTACGCTGTTAACACTACAAAAACCCGTTAAGATTTCAAGACTGTTCACTGTAATAAAATTCGTTAACGGCCGTGCTGTTATCGATTTTTTAAACTCTTAGTACTTTCATAAACCGTTAACGGTGGCATAAACTACTTAAATAAAAATCAAAGAAGACCTTTGTTTATTATTCTGTTATGATATTGCATGAAATTTCATTTAAATTTCTTTCTATGAAATGTCCCCAGCACCAGAAAATACCCTTTTAATAATAGAAAGTTATATATACCGCGACAAAAATGCAAGATTAAATGCATAACTATAAGCAGGGCGGATTATGATATTTTCCAGAGTTGGGGGGGGGGACATGATATGGTTTGAGGTCCAGAGCACTGACCAGCATTATCTTCTTCTTAAAGTTCCTTGACACTACTCCCTCAGCTTTAACCAATCTAAGAAAACAACAAGAATTTTAATTTCATTATATAAATTTATCATAACATATTAGCAGAAAATTGAACAAAAATATTTCAACAAAATTGCATGAATTCCCTTTATAAATTTTTCCTACTTGCAAAAAACTGTTAAAACGGCTGAATCGGCCAAATAAACGCTGAGTAGCTTAATGGTCGGTAGAAATAGAAATGATGTTTGAATTCCACCAGTGTAAAAATGAAAAATTTGTTAGTTTTATGATGAACAATATTAATCAGAAAACTCTGGAATATTCCACAGTTTTCTGATTATCACTGTAGCTTTTCCAGCAATTTTCCTAGAAAGTTAAACTTCTCCTGAAAACAACGGTTGGCAAGAGAATTTATTTACTGTATACTAATTTATTCTGGAATACACAATGAACTCGGTTTCTGCGGCTAAAAACTGATTTAGCGGTCTGTTTACATACAATTTAATTAGTCTTATGTCGAAACAATAACTTACAGTTTCGACATGAGAGGGGGGGGGGAGTAGCCCAGGCATGAGAGGGGGGGGAGTAGCCCAGGCATGACTTAATTTACTCGCTTAATTTTATCTTTAAATGTGTATTGTGTAACTATAAATGTTACTCTGGACTGCGACTAAGGTTTGTGTACTGGGTCATTTTAATGTTTCGGTTGCGTTTGTTTACAAGCAACTAATGTATAATTGTACAGCCACTGAAAATAAGTTCATTGTATACTACGGAATTTGGTGTACATTGAGTACAACATTCTCTTATGGCCAAACCTTAACTTGCCTGAAAAAGTCGTCTAATTAAACTAAAGTAATTCCAATCCTATGGTCTTAAAAAACATTTTTTTGTATTAATGATGACGTTTTGATATGAAGGTGCAGTGAGACCCATTAAGCTCTGGAATATGAGGAAGACATTTCTGTAGTTTTATGTGTATTTGATTGTAATAAATCAAACAGTTGTACCTTCAGCTTAAAAATCAACTTATCAAACGAAATGTGTCTTTTTTACACTTTAGTGTAAAAGTTGTCTCCCTGGTTCACAGTATTTTGTGTCTCAATTTAGAAAATACAAAACAACAGAAACATTAATGTACTTAAAATGAATTATTTTATCTCTAAAACATTGGTTGGTATATTACTGTTTTGCTGGGATTGTTTCATTGTTCTTAACCTTTTTTTGCAAACAGAATTTGTTTGCAAACCTATTACACTTGTTTTGAAACACAAAGCACTTTTTGTAAACTCAAAGGACTTTTTGCAAACATATAAGACTTGTTTGCAAACCTATAAGCTTTTTTGCAAACCCATATAGTACTATTTTGCAAACCCAAAGCACTTGTTTGCCAAACAATAAAAATTTCTTATTTTCATATTAACCTAAACCAAAAATATTTTACAGTTTATTTTAGTTGAATATGTTGATTGCCTCTTTTTTATAATTGTTGTTTTTAGCTTTGAATTCTGGAATCAGAGTTTCTTTTGTTACCCATCTTTTTACTACTTTACAAGGGTCGACATATTTTTTTTCAAATACTTTGCCACAAACTCCATTTTTCTAATCCCTATATCTTTGCAATCTAATTTTCATATTTCAAACTAAGCATTTAAAACAGAATTCTCAGTTTGAATTATCTAAAGTGTTCGCATAGGTTTCAATGTTTTAAATGTTGCCCTGCAGATCTTAATTGAGAAAATTTTCAAAATTAACAACTCTGATCGGTTACCCAGCTAAGATGGAGAAGGTGAAAAAAATAATTTTCCATTTCATCCTAACCCCAACCATGATTGGGTAAGAACTGGTGAAAACCTGAAATTTATAAAATAATGATTAATATTAAACACTGGTTTCCATGGAGCATATATATATAATACTCCAGAGCAAACCATTTCAATAAAAAGAAAGTTCATATGATTATGCTAATTTAAAGTTTTTTTTTAAATAGATCAATACAAAGTATATCGGGGTTACACAATCTTTATATTTTTTTTAATTTTCTTTTTTTATTCATTGAGCGTTCATTTAAACAAAAATATATAATACTACAATAAAGACGACTTTCGCCTTGAATTTTTTATTGTACCATGTTCTCAAACAGCATGGATACACAAAGTGCCTCATAATTAGTTTGCTTGTAAACTTGTAATTTCTTTCTTTCTAAAAATCTAAACATTGAAAGAAAAGTCGTCTACATCTATCTTATTCATATTAAAAATTACTCAGTCTACTAAAAAATATATTTCATAACCCTATTAAAGTTAATGTATTTCTAACAATACATATCTTTAAAACGCCAGTTATAGCAGTGAGGGATATGCCTATACTCACTTCACAGATTACTTGATATCATACTGTATATATATGTATACATTACATATATATTCTTTAAACCGTTGTCTCATTGAGTTCTAGCTTGATGAAATTTTCGCTATTAAAGTCGACCCACTCAACTATGAATCTCAAAACCAAGCTAAAAACATTCCCGTGGGTTTCCCGAGTACCCCAATCAAAATTCAAGATAAACAGAGATTACAGCTTTATAAATATAGATGAATTAGATATCTATGTTTTTGTTTCTTTATCATGTTTTTTTTTATTTGCGGTTTCAAAGCAAAAAGGACTTTTTGCTTGCTTTATTGCTTCGTTGTCTCCAGCATTTTTATTTAGATAAAAGGGACTGGTAAAGGGGCACAGGTTAAAGCCTGAAAATTTTAGGAGTTAATTGAAAGTGAGTCTAGGGATGTTAACGTTTTTAAAAACGATTGTTTTATTTTAAAGTTCGTTTTTAAAAAACGGTCGTTTTATAAAGCTTGACGTTTTGTTAACAATTGTTAATTGACCCTTCATTAATGATCGTTAATGAAGATAGGAAACCGACCTGAAGGGCATAGCTGTACATATCATTGAGTATTTAAAAAGAAAATATCAAGACATTTTAGCTCCCCCAGACCTGTTTAACTTCATGTAAGACGACATTCAATAAAGTTGCATGTAATTTTTTTTTTTAAAGTTCGGCGTTTCGTTAACGAAAACTCTTCATTAACGATCGTTAACGACAACCCTTCTTTAACGATCGTTAACAACGACCCTTTGTTAACAATCATTAACATAATTGTCTATAATATTTTTTTTAAATGATCGTTTTTTCAAAAGAGATGGTTTAAAAAAACAATCGTATAAAAAACGGTCGCAAATCGTTTTTATAAAAACGATCATTATTTGTTTTCTAAATGTTCAAAACGAGTGGGTCGTTTTTTCAAACAATCGTTTTTTCCGAAAACGAAACGTTTTTGAAAACGATTGGAAAATGAGACAAAAAACGATCGTTTAATGATCGTTTTCAAAAATGATTAAAAACCATAATTGCGACCATTATTAGTTCAATTTGATTTCCCTGTTTCGAGAAAATAACCGATTTAAAAATTCTTTATTGTCTGTAAAGGAACTGAGGCTTTTCCATAAACTCTGATTTTCTAATCCCTATATCTTTTCAACCTGATGTTGTCTACGAAAGCTTAGAACACGTTCTTAAACATATTGGAACGATTAGTAAAAGAACGGAACGGGAATTGCTTGAAAAGAATGGTTAAAATCGTTAACGCATTCTTATTATCAAGAACTCGTTCTAAGTTGGGAACGCATTTTAAATCAGGAATGTGTTCTAAATCCTCTAGAAATAGTTAAAGATTTTTTTATTTAATTACCTGACCCCCCTCCCCTTCCCCCACTTTAAACCTCTGCTAAACTGACAATACTCAGAGTACACAACAGGTTTCAGTTTAACTTCTGTATATTGTACATATTAAGGATATTAGCACTCCCGCCCCTCCCCCCGCTCTCCCAAAATTATACATTGCTCAGCCCAGAAATTATCTAAGCTTATTCTTTTAACCCTAAATTTAAAATATATAATTCAAAGTATTATTTACAGCCGTGAGGAACTTTTTATTAAAAAATCGTAATTTTTTTACTTTTTAACCATGCTCTTTTCTATAAAACTTTTGTCTTGGATGGAATTGTTCGTTACTAAGAACAGAACAAGAGGGATGCAACCGTTCTTCAACTAAGAATGACAAGAACGGAACGGAACGATAAAAAAGAGGAACGAGTACAGAATGATTTAGCTGAAGGCACTCGTTCTAGAACGGAACGGAACGATTTCAAAAAAGTCGGAACGTGCCCAGCCCTAGTTGTAGACCTTTGATATTGCAAACTATGTATATTGATGGATCAAATAGTCTAATTTTAAATTTGCATTTATAAAATTTTAAATAATTTCAACTGTTTTGGGATAATTTCAAACACATGGACAGGTTTTTCTTCTCAAACGTTGAACAATCCCTTTTTATTCATAAAACTAAATATATGTGCACAGCGTAACTATGGCTAGTGCATAAAAGCCAAATCAAGCAAATATTAAAACTTCTAGAAAACTATTAAAAACTCGAGGAATTTCCCAAATAGATTTGATTTTTAAATTGGACAGACAAAACTTGTGTGCACATAGGTTTGGAAATTATGTTAAAGTCAGCATTTAATTTCAAATTAAATCAGAAAATTTTTTTTATTGTATACTGCATTTTTGCGAAATTTCGCCCCATGTACAGGGTGAGTAAAAAAAAGTGTGATTTACGGCGCCTGGTAACAAAAGTGTACCTTTTTTCGTGCAACTCTCCTGTATGGAAATTTATCCATATTTTTGGAAATATTTTTATTTTATTTTTGGTACTCCAATTACCAAAAAAAATCCACGAACTTTTTTTTTCTCTCAAAATCAAAAGTTTAGAAAAGCAAAAATGTTTATATGAATTATTTCTATCGAAATATAAATTTTATACAGATTGAATCACAGAATCACAGAAAATTGGCAAAATTGAAACAAAGAAAATTCGCAATTTTCAGTGCTGTTCTAATTTAATGGAAAAGTTGTTTTTCAATGGTTCTTCAAGTTTCAACTGAACAGCGTATATTTGTTAACTTTTGAATATACTAAGAAGAAAGAAACTAGAGAATTCAAATAACTTTTCCTTAAAAATTAGACCAAAACTGAAAATTGCGAATTTTCTTTGTTACAATTTTGCCAATTTTCTGTGATTCTGTGATTCAATCGTTATAAAATTTTAGATTTCGATAGAAAGAGTTAATTTACACATTTTTGCTTTTTTAAACTTTTTCTTTTAAGAGAAAAAAAGAGTTCGTGGACTTTTTTTTGACCATTAGAGTACCAAAAAAATTAAAATTTTTCAAAAAGTATTGAAAAAACACCATACAGAAGAGTTGCACTGCAGAAAAATGTACACTTTTGTACCAGGCGCCGTAAATCACACTTTTTTGACTCACCCTGTATTTTTGCGGAAAAAGGCGAAACATTGCTAAAAAGTTTGCGAAATGCAACTTAAAAGTTTTTCATTTTTTGCGAAATGTTTCGTTTGCTGGAAAACCCTAGTTTTTATTAAACCTAAGGCCATTCAAAACCAGAATCTTCACTTAAGCTTTACTTGGGACTAAGTTGACGCAAAGACCACTCTCCTATAAAACCAACTATGTCTTCGGTCAGTGTAGTCAAATTTAGTGCAATACAAACTAAAAGCATTGTTGAGGGTGATTTTAATTGGGTTTAAGCTTTTATAATCTCAGCTTAGGATAAACATTCATCATTTATTCAG